CCTGGCATTTGCAAGTCATAAGCACTGCGCGCTGATTACGCCACCCCCCCTACCCATTATATACGCTACTACCGATTAGACAGTCCAATGAAGCCGCTGGATTGGTATCACTGCCAAACTACTGACTAATGCCAAGAAGACGATCTAACTTGACTATCTAGAGGAATTAAAAGTCGTAACAATGCTTTCCGTAGGTTAATTTGCAGAAGGGTTATTCAAAGATATTCTTATATGTATTCATATGAAACACAATGGTGTGTTATTTATTTAAACGCAGAAAAAACTTGGTACAATATGGCACCAAGAAAGATGCGCCATACAAATTGTGTGTGGGCTGAGATACTGCCTGGGCGCCCACACCTAACCAGTTGCTTTTCTTAGAGGACCAACTACCGAGCCTTTCACTCAGAGTCTAATCCGCAAGGCAGCGGAGCAGCGTCAGGACCCACTTTCCCCATGGTTGTTGGTAACCAAAACAGGTTCATACGCCGTTCGATCCAATTGGATTCTCGAATCAATGTACCCCATGATAACTGCTTTTAGTCTAACCGCTATCCAACCAACCTTCCTGACATAGTAGGTCCTGCAGGGACATGAGCCCCAGCCAGTTTAGCTTGTTGGGTCAGTGAGGTATTCAAGCCCGACCACCACGACAAGGTAGCAGTTGTCAGTGTGTTATGTAGTACCAGTGAAGGTGTTGATTAGTGATGACCTCTAACTAAGGAAAATTCACCTGTCTAATCAGTCAGCCAACCTATATAATATATAATAATCAGTATTAGTACCCCAGAAAATAAAGAACGGGGAAGAGGAAGAGTCTAAAAAGGCTGATTATCAACGATCCATCACAATCCCTTTTAGAATAATATTAACAGTTGAGTGTATGTGTGTGTGCGCGCACGTCAATGGGTAGGCGAGTGCATGCATATGTGCACATTGTCAATCGATCACACTTCATTTCAACAGAACAAATCTCATGTACAATATTCTGTTTGATTGAATAATCCTCGTAAGACACCTGCATGCCTGTCTGTCGACAGAAATTCTTTAATACCATTAGAGAGATTAATACTACTACTACTACTACTACTACTACTACTACTAATAATAATAATAATAATAATAATAATAATAATGATAATCAATCTATTGTGTATTCCAAGTACAATCTGTTGTCTAGTCATAATATAATTTAATTATAATAAATAAAAAAAACCTTTTAATTAAATAATACAAACTTAATGAATCAATTATTTAATCCAATAAGGACGATTATTCATTCAGCCGCACACCCAAACACACAAAGGTGTAACACAAAGTCACAGTAGAATTCAGGATGCGTAGATTTATGCCATTTGGAACTTGTTAGTTGGGATGGCGGGGTGGGGGAAGTGAGTGACAGTGTTACATTCTGAAACTCCTGTGGAGACGTGGTCCATTGACTTAAGACCTTGACTTGTAGCCAGTGGACTTTAGTTTAGAATTCCATTTCACCTACTTAAATCAGCCTGGATAGTACGCGGGAGGAAGGAAAGGTTAGCTGTCTTTGATTACGGATGCCTGCGTTCTGTCTCCCGTATGAAATGGTATATTGAAGTTAGGCATCGAGTGCTAGGTAAGGAGAGGAAATCAATCGATGAGGCTGTGAAGTTACATTGATTGAGATGGTTAAGACATGTGTTACGCATGCACGCCTAGTCATCACCTTCCTCGACTACAGGCTAACATAGGATGGACCATGTTGGAAAAGAGCCAGTGGTAGTTAAACCAGAACATGTCTTCATCAGCCAAGGCGATCCACAACAGTTAGTTTAAGCCAAGTAAGAAGGTGTACGCTTCCTGACTGATTGGGATCCTTGGGATGGCAAAAACCAATGAAGGCTGGAGACAGTTGGTGACGATATGGCTCAAAGTCGTTCTAGGTGATGACTGGATCAGATACATCCACTCCTTGTGAATTATCCAATAAAACTATACGTTTCCTCCATATTAATATTCTTTTTGCCTCATATCTCTGTTTATTGTCTCTATTTCGCGTTTCTACTTACTTTCTTCTCTGGTTTTGTATGCTGAGTGAAGTGTGGCGACTAGGATTGTTGCACATCTGTGCAAAGTTCTACGTTGAAACCAGTCAGTCAGGAGTGGGGGAGGAGAGGAAACCACCTTCAAACAATAAATGTGGTCTATTTATGGTCTGGAATATCAAAAACTTCTTTCGGCCACCGGTTACTGATATCAACATTTTGTATAATTCAAGTACATATGGAACACATATCTAAACACTTTTCAAGTGTTGGTTTGACTGATTTGAGTAATTGCAGTTCTGATTATAACGAATTAATTTCAGTTAGCGAACCAGCAGAAAACTGCTGGACAGATGTTTCTTTACTGTTTTTGAACTTTTAAGCAGTATGCATTTCTTTTATTATTCCTTTACGTTCCCAGTGGAACGTAGGGCAGCTTCAAGCTCGAGGCTGTTTCTGTAGCAGTGGTGATTATTTTTACAAAGGTGGGGTTGCTAGCCTCATGCCCAACCTTCCCTCTTTACCAGTCTTACTACTGACTTAGCGAAGTAAAGGAGTGCCTCGGTCGGGGATCGAAACCCGGACCACCTGTGTGGTCGGACAGCACTCTGCCGCTGTAGTACGCATACATCACCCACCCACCCCCAACTACTAGGAATTGAACCAATGACTTCCAGATTATAAGGTGACCTGAATGATTATTCACCCCAGTGGAACGGAGTTCAGTCGCCAGCCCATCAATTCTAATTTCTGCCAATTTGTAAGATAGTACACGACCGCTAACCAATGTGTCTTCGATGAATATCTCTTCTTACACCCGACTTGCTGGAGCCTAGTGGTCACGAATTCCCCACTAAGACTTCAGATAATTTCATTCTGTAGTAATTCGCTAGATTAATTTGCAAGTGTTGATTTGAACTACAGGGACTGATTGTTTTCTATTTTCATCATGAGATGACTTCTAGTATAGAAGCACTTCCTGGTTTCTAATATTTCTCTAACTGAGGTCAATTTGTCGATAAAATTGAAAAAAATCTAATTGTCGAATATGGAACAACATGAATAATAATAATAATAGTTATAGAGGGTGGTGTACATTGCCAAGCATGCTGCCAAACCTGGTGGGGATAGATGAAACGTTCACAATCCAATACACCTATAGCTAAGATTTGATTATCTTAGCTATCCCCAGAATAAATTTCTTCATATAGCAGGCTAAGAGACACAGTTTCTCTCTCTCTCTCTGTCTCTGTGTATGAGGACTGACGATACTGACGGAGTGTCCAGACTGAAAGGTAGGTGGGCTGGGGGATTCAAACCCGGAACCCGTTGGGTCAGAAGTTGAGTAGCTAAGCCAGTAAGCTAGTTGTTCCATCCTAGTTGGGGATTTCCCTCCTCGTGAAGGGATCGAACTCAGGACTGGTAGAAGTTACAATTAATGAACCAGTGGATCTCCTACCACAACTCTGTTCTCTTGAACAGGTAGAATGGGCTTATCCGCCTAATGATCACTGTCGAATGATCCACTGGAAAACATTTGAAACAATGGGCTTGTTACATAACCATAGTTCAAGATACAATCCCTAGTGAACAACCACATAATTGATTAACAAATATGTAATGTCTAGATCCAACAGCTTAAACTTCACCTACATCAACAAGCTCTTTAAGTGCTTTGAAAAGCATACAACACTATTTATTATTAATAAACCACCACACACACACACACAAATATAACATTATTCGTGTATCAGGCTGTATGAGCCGTGCCAATTGTCTACCCCGAAAAATGACGTGGTACAGCCAAGGGTGGGTAGACTTCAGTCGTTCTCTCGAAATACTCTCGTGTGTCCACGCCTCTAACAGGTAAGCAGTATTTATCACCTTCAAGCGGCCAGTGTGTTCCTCTCAAAAGCAAAAGGGCGAATTCGAACGTGGGGTACTTATAACTGGATTGGTGTAGCTAGGGAAGATGGAAAACCCTGGCTCCAAAGCTATAGTGGTGTACATTGACTCGAGAATCCAATTGGATCGAACGGCGTATGAACCTGTTTTGGTTACCAACAACCATGGGAAAAGTGGATCCTGACGCTGGCCCACTGCTTTCAGAATCAGACTTTAAGTCAATGGGCTCACGTGAATGTTCTTTCAAGCAACCACCTACTTCGGTCTGACTAGTATACTAATAATTGCCCAGTCATCATGCCCATAATGTGCTTCATTGATAATGCCAAATAAAACTTATTGTAGGGATACTAATAACACACATCACCACCCAGCCGCTTAGTCAGGCTGAAGAAGGATGGAGTGTAAATTCAAACCTGGGACGGTTTGACTGGAAGACACACGAGCACTTAGACAACAAGGGACCCGGCAGACAACTGCTACCTTGTCGTGGTGGTCGGGCTTGAATACCTCACTGACCCAACAAGCTAAACTGGCTAGGACTCATGTCCCTGCAGGACCTACTATGTCAGGAAGGTTGGTTGGATAGCGGTTAGACTAAAAGTAGTTATCATGGGGTACATGTGTTCCAGAATCCAATTGGATCAAATGGCGTATGAACCTATATTGGTCATCGGGAACCATGGGAATGCAGCTCCTGACGCTGCTCCGCTGCCTTGCGGATTAGACTCTGAGTGAAAGGCTCGGGAGTTGGTTCTCTAAGAAAAGCAACTGCTTAGGTGTGGGCGCCCAGGCAGTATCTCAGCCCACACACAATTTGTATGGCGCATCTTTCTTGGTGCCATATTGTACCAAGTTTTTTCTGCGTTTAAATAAATAAATAAAAGACAACGAGGGATATCTAACATCATCAAACACAATACACACACATACACCTTTGTTGATACATTGATAATCAAAGTGAGACAAAAACGGTTGACAACTAAAAGACAAGATTCTTATGTGGAGAAAAAAAATCAGAAAATAAACTGTTTCATCAATAATACTCTCTCTTTCTTTCTTGTTACCTACCAAATGTAATATAGGCTACATTTTCACCGACAGCTGCATTAGTTCCAATGAGTTCAGTTGGCGGTGTTGACTGTGAATACAACACTTGAGGTGCTCGATCAAAACGACGTCGAACTTCAGTTAACTCCTACAACAACAACAACAAAATTGAAAAAATGAATTACACATTAAATTAGCTGACAGAATTCAAAAGTCTTGTTATTCTGGAAGAAATCTTTCCATTTCTGTATTCGATCCCAGGGTCTTCTGGTTACAAGGCCAGCAAGCTAGGTCGTATACCATCAAGCCACTGGGACCCGTTCCAAATGACAGCCCATGAACTCTAACTTCTGCCAATTCACGACGAAGCGCAACCACTTCGCGATATCTTCTTCGATGAGTAATTGTCTTCATCTTCAACCTGCTGTATCCTACTGGTCACAGCTTCCGACTAGAAGCTCAGGTTAACTGGCTGAATATATGGACAGTCGCTAGTGAGCATCTCGTTGATTTTCAAGTATTGGCTTTGTTTGACTGACCAGTGGGGCACAGCAGGTTGACGGTGGGGACAGTTACTCATCGAAGAAAACATTGCGAAGTGGTCGCGCAACATCGTGAATTTTCAGAAGTTAGAATTCATGGGCTGGCTGGCCATTGAATCGGGTCCCAGTGGCTTAATGTTCTGCCAGCTAGCTTGTTGGCCTTGTGTAACCAAAAGGTTCTGGGTTTGAACCCTGACAGTGGGGTGGGTGCGTACTGATGAAGAGTCCCAAACTAGGCCAAGGAAACAGCTGTCCAGTACTCCCAGTTGGTTTTCAATGGTTCTCTAACTGTTATCAGCCTATGATGAAATCGTCTAATCAATCAATTAATCAAAATCCCTGCAGATCAATCAAATACTCACGTTCTTCAATGTTACTAATCTTTCTTCCATACATTTCTGTTTCTTTACCTTTGTGCTCTACACAAAGAAGTAAGCTAACTTGAACTGTTCTGTATATCTGTGCAAAGTCCTACATTGAAGGTCCATTGGGATACATAGAACAAGTCTGTCTAACCAATCAGACATAGTTCCACCCACACACATTCATCAGAATGTAAATAGTTTTATAAACACACTGAACAAATTTACGCTTTATCATTCATCAATAATCAGAGATACACAAGAGAAGGTTTTCTTTGTTTCAATAGTCCTACACAGTCAGTAGGAGAAGATGATAAAATTAAACTAAACTCAATGATGAATGAGGCAGACACATAAATGGATTTTTTTTCGTGTGTGAATATGACTCTACCCCTTCCTCTTTCTCGCTCCCTCAATTTTTAACCAAAACATGCTTTTTCTTGAATATATTCATAGGAGTCATTGGTCTCTCTTTCTTTCCCTCCAATTCCTACCATATACACCTTTATATTAAGAACGCGTCATTAAAACTGTCATGTGATATTGTTTATATTACTCATCCTAAAATTTAAGAGTAAATTATCTTGATTACAATATATATATATATATATATATATATATATATAGCAGTGGAATCCAGGGTGTGCATTTCGTCCTATTTAGGAGTCGTCCACCAGCTGGATGTGCCTGCATCCCCCATTGAGTCAGTGATGGTGTTCCCAGTGAGGCTCGAACCCAGTGCCCATGGTTTCAAACGCTAAAGCGTTATCTACTAGACCACTTGGGTCATGATAGCCACCTTTTGTGCAACAGGTCATATTAATGATTGAATTCAGCTTTAGATTTTCTCGTCGATTGATTGGATTGAATTGCTCCACCTCAGGTTGACATGTCGGCTTCTTGTGTAGATGCACAGACGACGTCTGTGGCCCAAGCGGTCTAGTGGATAACGCTGTGGCGTTTGAAACTATGGGTACTAGGTTTAAGCCTCGGGGGAACATCATCACTCATTGCGAAATGCAGGCACATCCAGCTGGCGGACGAGTCCCAGATAGAACGAAATGCACATCCTGGATTCCACTGCTAGTCACCATCGTCCAAATAACTTCATACATATATATATATATATGCTGGAATGCAAGCTCTAGTCTCTCTGTATTAACATGTTGGTCAGGTCATAGGACTACGGACACGATTCACTTTCATGACGCATAACGAGGGAACCTGATGATAATACATGGATGGTGTGTAATGATGGGTAGCATACTCCCCCACCCTCCTCTCCCCAAAAAAGATGACGAAACGCAGATAACCATGATTTAACTGTTAGTTGTTTATCAACAAAAAAAAATATTTCTCTCTGCATTAGATATTAGGAATTTAGTCTCTTGTTTAACTAACCAGACTCTCAAATTTGACTTCCGTGTGGAGATATGACTCTTTGGGAGCTTGACTGGCAGAATTTGACGCCAAGTGATAATATGCTGAAAGTTGGTTTGATGTGCGTGTGATTTTTGAGAAACTAAACATAAACTCTTATGGATTCAGTGAGAATTTGGTAGGGTCTTCCATTGGCTTCAAGGGATGTACACGTGTTCTAGAGTTGGTGCAAAAAAATAGTGGAACAACGAATCGCTTGAGGATTTTGAGGTTTCAACAGCATTGGTGTTTTTTCTCTTTAAGAAGTGTAGGGTAAGCTAGCCACTTCAAACCTCCCTTCTTTACCCGACTCAGGGAGTGTGTGTATGTGTGTCAGTTGGGAGTCGAACATGGGTCAAGTGAGTGGTTGGCGAATCACCACCACCGTCGAAGCACCAATCACCATCAACGGTGAATTCCTCAAACAATCTGGGCATCTTCGGTTCAACTACAGACAGTCAGCACTGAAGAGGAGGTCAAAACTAGCCAGGATCCGAAAAGCAACACAGACTTCATCACTTTGAATTCAGTTTGATAATCTACTGCATTCAGCATAAAGAATAAGATTCGAATTTTCAACACCAATTCCATATTAGTTTGTTTATTAGATGTATCACACAGTCACTGAAACAGTATTACTGTTTACTGATTGAGCAGGTTTTGAACAAAATTTATTACTGTTCATAATCAAATCGTCAGTTATAATCACACGACTTTGAAACTTGAGTTTTATAGTTTTCTTTGTCTTCTCCTATTTCCAGATATCAGGGACAGGTGATAAATCATTCCTATTACATGTATTTGCAGTTGATTCGATAAACAAAGCTTCTGTTATCAATCTATCCCTCCATCCTGTGACATTAGATTTTAAAACTGTCCTATTGTAAATTGCATGTAGTGAGTGATATAGCTGAACTATTCTTTAGATTTCTTACCTTATTCGGGTCAACTAATTTAGATTTTACTAGGTTTCAATGTTCAACTAGTCTGACTGCACTTGTTCTATTACTTTGACCCGATAATCATTGCAGACAGGGTATTTAATAAACTAAAGTGTTTTGTTTTAAAGGCTATGCAGGATCCTTTAACCGACAAAGCTTGTTTCTATTTGAGTTTGTGGGTTTGAATGCCAGAAACTTTTATTCCTGCCTGCACTCCTAAGAATTTTCCCTCTCCGAGGTTTCTAAGGTTCCTTCTTTGTATGAAAGCACTACTGATGATTTAAATTCCTTATTGTTGGTGTTGTCATTATCATCTTGTGCATTTTTGACACGCATCTGGTCATTAATATTACCATTTTTATTATTTATTTTATGAAAATAGACTCTTTATTTATCGAATCAACTACAAATACATGTAATAGGAATGATTCAACACCTGTCTACTCATACATCTGGAAAATTCTACTACTCCAATGACGACGAATAGGAGAGGACAAAGAAAACTACAAAAATCAGGTTTCGATATGATTATGAACAATAAATTTTGTTCGAAACGTCATCCAGTAAACTGTGTGACACATCTAATAAACAAACTGATATTGAATTACTTACTACCAAGTTTTACACATATTTCAACACCAATATTACATCAGCCATTTCTCTAATATAGGGTCAGGAACTTGACGAGTAAATCGACAAAAGTTACTGCAGACTTTGTATCAACAACTGTCCATGTCACTGGGGTCCATGCTAAGGATAAGATGGCTGATCATAAAGGATTAGCAACAAAAATCTTTGGAGATGAACCAATCAACAAATATGACGAAGAAAATAGAGATGGACACACGCTGAGGTGACCGTTGTTAGCTAATATCGCGCAGAAGGCCATTGCTCGAGTGAAACTCATACGAGACGATGAGTTGAGCATGTGTCCGAGGGCGACACACATGAAGGAGATCGTGTCAGAAGAAGATGAGAGCTTGTGACTATTCGTAGGGTCAACTGATGAAGAGGACATCAGGGAGCAAGACAATGGGGAGAGAAGCCTTATGTTCCACTTGGAACCCAAGGGAATAGTAATAATAATTCTTAATTTTTCAAACATAGTTATTACTCATACACTTCAGTTTACTTTGTTACTAACTGACAGTAACCTTTGACCTTTAATGTCTTATCAATCTACATCGTAGTAGTTACCCCGTGTAAACAGGTGAAACATTCTACTTGTCTCATCAGTAGTAGTGTAGTGTAAGGGGGAAAAAGACCAATACACAAGGCATAGAAACGGGTGGTCTCTGTTATGATTGGCGGGAATTTTTGTCAATCAATACTAATTTTGTAGAGCAAACAGAGATGATATGCCAAACACTAAAATGATGCTTGTATGTATGTATGTGTGTGTATGCATGCATGGCATATTGATAGATGCATGCATGCATTCAATTAATTATTAATAATAACAATAATAATGAGAACGGCAGGTGTACGAAGGCGAGTTGGTAAACCAATCAATCAATCAATCGATCGTTTGATCGATCCATCGACCAGCTATAATTAATTACAAATACATTGTTAATCTAATAATTTAACCATACATTTCTCGTACACAGACACACACACACATACAGAGACACACAAATGCACACACGGTAGAGGGACAGACAGAAGAGGCGGAGGGTGGTAAGTGGAGAGGAAATCTAAAATACACAATAGGGTTGAATCAGGTCAGAAATAAAGTGAGGCATGAAGTATGAATGTAACGCGTGGAGTGAATTAACTGAAATACGGATGTGCACACAGACAGCTGAGCGCGCGTACACGCACCTCCGCCCACACTGACATACACACAATCACATACATATAGTTGGATATAATTTTGTACTATAATCAAAAACATACTTTACATTAATAAAAATTTAGTAAATTACCTTCGAAAAAAAAACAACAAATGGAACAATTCTGGCGTATTCTGTTGTGCATTTTTACCTTAGTATTCCAATTAGAAATAATAAATTGGATAAATCACTGCATACTGACTAAGCTACAGTACTATTTTTAGCTTTTCTGATTGTAAATCATTTTGTATGCATGTGTGTGTGGATGAATCATAAGGGAATTCGGGGGTAGGTGAGATAAGGCGAAGAGGAATATTGTATCGTATTATTAGTGTTATTCTCTCAGGTTTTCAGTGGAACATAGGGCTTCACAACAGATCATCGGCATTTCAACCTGTTCTCTGTAATCCTCTTCAACTGGCTTCACGGTTGCCCATTGCGTTACGACATCTCCCCTAAGTCACTCCCGGACACACAGCCAACTCGTCAATTCCCATCGCGTTGAAAGTGATTGGTTCCTGTTGTTGTTTTTCTTATTTCACTGGATAGACTTTGACTAGTCACGACTTCCCACTAGAACTCCAGGAGACGCCATCCTGTTACAAGTCACTAGCGAGCATCAGATTAATTTTCAAGAGTTTGGTTTGTACGGATTAGATTTGTTTTTACGAGTTTGACCACCACGGATTGATATCAGTAAGAGATCCTCTGGAAACAAGTTGGGAGTATTGGACAGCTGTTCTGTCAACCTAGTTTGGGAATCATCGGCAGTACGCACCCACCCCACTGCCAGGGTTTGAACCCAGGACCTTTCGGTTAAAAGGCGAGCAAGCTTGAATACCATTCAGCCACTGGGACCCGATTCAATGGCCCATGAATTCTAACTTCTACTGGGTCTCCTGGAGTTCTAGTGAGAAGTCGTGACCAGTGAGGTCCATCTAGTCAAGTGTAAGGATGGAGTTCCAGCCGATGACATTGGTTGGTGCCAGTCACGGTAAATCACGAATTGGTTAGAGCTGGAATTCATGGGCCATTGAATCAGGTCCCAGTAGCTGAATCATATACGAGCTTGCTCGCCTTGTAACCGGAAGGTCCTGGGTTCAAACCCTGGCAGTGGGGTGGGTGCGTACTGCCGATGATTCCCTAACTAGACTGACAGAACAGAACAGCTGTCCAATACTCCCAGCTTGTTTTCAGAGGATCTCTAACTGATATCAATCCGAGGTAAACTCGTAGAAGCAAATCCAATTCTTACAAGTCAACTCCTGAAAGATATACTTATTGCTTAGGTATCTCTTCATCACCTCCGTCTTTTCCAT